CCCCCCACGGCCCTCGTCCCGCCTAACCCTATAGCGTTTGACCACGGGATCTAGCCCTTTGACTTTGCACGGACGGGCTTTGAGCAGTGGACCTATCCACACGGTTGTGTTAGGTCAGCCCATAAGAACACTTTAGAGCAACATCCGGGCCAGACCGATGGCAAGATCCCCTCCATGTAGACCCGACGCGTCCGTTTCCCCCCTTCAGGTGCCGGCGGCGCCGCCATCCGTGAGGGGGGCACACCCCGGAGACGAGTGTCGCCTCTAATTTGGACATGGCACCACACCACCCCGCATGTATGAGGGCCCGGTGCGACGCTCCGGTGGTATTGCTATCCCCCAGGGCCCCCGTCCCGCCTCTTCAGACATGGCACCACACCGCCCCGCATGTATGAGGGCCCGGTTAGACGGGAGGGTGTATCTGGGGGGTAGCAATGCCGCTAGGTGTTGCTTTGGGCCCTCCTACGATTGTGGAAGCGTGGTGGCTAGCGCAGGCACCCGGCACGCAGCTCCGGTGTGTGCCCCCCATCTCCGGCGTCGCTGTGGGGCACTGCGCGGCGATAGCAACGTCCGTGAGGAGGGCAATCGATATACCATCTGGGTATGTTTTTTTGGTTAGATAAGGCACATTTATGTTGTGAAAAAAACAAGAAAAAGTAAATAATATAAATAAAAAAATAAAAAAATAAAAAATAGAGATATGTCGACGGCAAGGCCGTCGGCATACCTGCGCACACAGCCATGGATCGATGACGTGCCTAAGGGCGCGGATCCATGACGTGGCAACATCCATGGGCCAGACCTATGCCGACGGCCAAGCCGTCGGCATAGATTTGCCACCCCACGGACAGGCGAGTGGCGCGGATTGATGACGTGGCGGGCGACGCGGATCAATGACGTGGCGTCTATGCCGACGGCCGCCGTTAGCCCGTCGGTGTAGACTGACGCCGTCAGAAGGCCGTCTCCGTCCGGGTAGCCGGGCCCACGTGCTATGCCGACGGCCTTCTCTATGCCGACGGCCACCGTAGGCATATTTCTAGCGACGCTGACGGGTGAGCTTTGCCGACGGGGGCCGTCGGCATAGATTGATATACGCCGACGGCTTTTCTATGCCGACGGCCTGGGCTGGGCCTTCGGGATAGGCCAATCTATGCCGACGGGGGCCGTCGGCATAGGTTTGGCCGTCGGCATCGCCAGTTATTCTGGTAGTGTGTGGAGGCGCACAGGTACCTCATGCAAGAGTGGAGAATTACACCGCCCACAAAGCGTGCGTTGCTTGAGTAGTCTCATTATGGGGTTCCATCACGTATCCACCGGAAGAGGCAGAGGAGGTGCGCCGTGAGAGCATGGTTAATAGTATACCCAACAACTGGCTAGAGGTTGTCATATCATTTATAGCCAACCTAATAGCTAACATGTATAGTAGCTAGTTACTAAGTACTACTACTTCATTAATAGATGGCCCATCTTACACTCTCACATTGTTTATTGGAGCACGTGTTGCAGCCGGCTGTTAATCTACAGCCCGCTTCCCTTCTCTCTCCTCTTCTTTCTCATCCAACTCAGCAAATATATAATATTTTAATTCTTACAGCATGTTGACTGTATCTTATTATACTTGCCCTGTGCTGGATCTTCAGCAAGGGGTGGTGTCCGGGACTATTTGGATCAAGAGCCCAACCCGCCAAGGAACAGAATGGGCAACTAGATAGAGTTGAGACCCGACTCATTCCCAACTTACCGCACCCGCATGGTTACCGTTGCCGCTAGGTCGCTCACATTTGTTTTTGACTGGGTGGTCGCCACAGGTTCATAATTGCTGCCGGTGGACTTTGGGAGTCGTGTATAATAGGAAGTGCGGAGTAGATGGGTGCAGTTTCTGAAAAGTTGATAACTTTCTGCGGTCTAAACATGATATTTTTACACTTTCCCTCTCGTCGTTTCATCTTCCAAGAATATGAATAGCTGAAATAAAGGGCGTCAATATCTGGCATACGTCAGCCAGAGGGAGATCTCCAGCGAACTAGTTTGTTCGCTGGGGAAAGTAGCTCCCAGCAAACGATCTGGCCATCCCTCGATAGATTGCCAGGAGGCCCCGAGGTGAACCCCTATGGGGGAAGAGGCCAAGTTTTATTTTTTTCCGAAAACTGCTATCAACAAAAAAGGACTCCTAAATTACCATGATCTAACTTATGAGAAAATGCTATGCTACTTTATAGACAAATCTTATCTCCCTGACTTTACAAAAATACAATGTGTACAATTACAAAAACTGTATGAACTACAAAAATGAAAAATGTCATGCTAAAAAATTTTAAACCGTCATCCTCGGGATAAAAATGCCATGAACAAAAAGAGCCATTAAAAAAAGAAATGCCATGATAAAAAAAGTGACATCTCCTAATAAATGAAAATGCCATCTCCTAATAAATGAAAATGCCATCTAAGAAACATAAAAACGCCTTCTCTTAATAATAAGAATGCCAGCTCTTAATTATAAGAATGGCATCTCGTAATAATTAAAAATGTCACCTCTTAATAATAAAAATGGCACCTCTTAATGAAAAAGTGCCATCTCTTTATATAACAATGTCATCTCTTACTAAAAAAATGCCATCTCTTAAATACTAAGAATGCCATCTCTTAATATAACAATGTCATCTCTTACTAAAAGAATGTCATCTCATAATATTAAAATTCCATGTTACTGATTATTAAAAATGACATACTCTTATTAAAAAAAGCCATATAAAGCACGGAAAATGCCATGTTATATATAAATAAAAATGCACATTGCTTAGAAAAAAATTCACAAATCAGTTCTAATTTTGTTCTTTGAAAACAATGGGAAAAAATGGGATTTGTTAAAGAAAATTCAAATGAAAAACAAGAATAAAAATAACTCAAATACATAAAAGACGTTTGAGCACCAAAGTATTAAAATAAAGCACACTAGCTCAACTGGCGAGTGCGCTCGGCTGCTCCCTAGGTGGTGCGAGTTTGATCCCCCTGGTATGCGCTTTTTTGGAGAGAAAAAAAAGGAACATTCGCCAGGAGACAACCTACAGCGAACACATCCAGAGAGCTGATGTGGCGTCAGATTCGCGCCAAGATCCGTGCGACTTGATTAGACGGCGCAAAGGGTGTTCGCTGGGATTGCCTCCATGGGGACATCAGCCAACTACTATTTTCCAAAATAAAATGCAATTCATATAAATTCTTTGAAAGAAGGATAATTTGAGTTCCATAAAATTTGGTAACAAAAAGAACACAAAAATGCGTTGAAATGAGTTCCTCAACGCAGGTACCATTCCAGGGTCATCGTTTCCAATTTGTTTGGGTAATGTTCCACCTATCGATCGGATCTCTCGAAAGATGTATACCCCCATCATTCCCTTTATTTGCCACCCAGCGACCCACGACCACATCGACCCGGCAACTTGGCAACTATGAGCGGATGCGCCGACCCATTACCCAATCAGTCCAGCGCCTGGGCAGCAAGCCAGCAACAGCTACACGGCGCCGACAACAACTGGGAACGTATACTTGTTGTAGCCTCCTTACATCTTTTTTTTTTCGGATTATTTGCTGTGGAGGAATGGCAAAACACAGATAATTTGTTCTTGTAAAGGAATGACATTGCAGAGAAAAATCGTAAGGTATGGGGCCTAGGAGGTTGGAAGTACCTACTTTTTTTAACAATAATATTGTAGACTCATAAGTAAAAAGTACAATAAAAAATGTAGGAGGTTGGTAGTATCAATTATAGGGGTTAGACTCATGAATTTAAAGGTAGTAAACTAATTGATCCTGCGTAACATCTTTTTTTTTTAAGAATTAAAGTGTGATCACGTGGGACCGCCCTTTCGATCCTCAATAAAGATGACGTGATCCTAGACGTCTACAACACGTATGCCTTGTTTGCACATTTGATAGCCTCCAGCTGCAAGCAAAGCAAAGCTGCCGCAGTCCAAGCAAGGAATCAATGGATGCTTGCAGGTGTGGACTACAAATTAAGCTACTACTATGAACAACGACCAGCTGCTTAAGGTAGCAATTATCATGCCACTCTCCATCTTCCATTAACCCATCAATCGTCCTTCATCTCTCCGACTCCTGTGCGTACGTTGGAGCGACATGAGGGTGCTGCGGGATCGGCAAGACTACATCAGCGCCGTGCAGAGCTACCCTCCAACAGATCAACCCAGGTAATTCGAATAACCTAAACACTTATTTTGGAGTGAGAAGAGAGATTATATTACGTAAGATCAGATGCATTGTTGCTTACAACCAGATCATGGTTCTCTGTTCACGTCTACCAAAAAAGAAGCCATCTCGTGACTAAGTTTATACCCTAGCTTGTTTTTTTCCCAAAGATATACTTTGTTGTGTTGTGTAACATCGACAACGTAACAAAGTTACTTTTTTTTTGAGTGAGAAAAGTTACTTATTGTTGTGCTAAACTGCTCATATATTTATGAACTTCTAAAATTATTCTCATCTCCGTTCTTAGTAGCTTACCAATAAAAAAATTATGACTTTGCAGTATTATGTATATATAATAATTTATCAAAACGATTAGGTAAATGAAGATGCTATAACTAGGAATCGTTGAATAAACACCAACACGGTTAGCTACAAAATAAACACGGAATATTTGTCATATATATTGCAGAGAATACAATCGGATAGTCACAGGAATATTTTAGCATGTAAAATTGGGTGCTATCTTTACAATATACATATGATACATAAGTACTAATGTATTAGACAATACTGTTTACTGAAAACCCATCAGTAGTACTACTCACCGTTGATCCGCGGGTGGGCATCCATGACGGGCTTGTATCACTAGTGATCCTAAATCATGGCCCATCAGCTGTCTATGTTACACCACCGGCGGGCCAAACTATGCATTTTCCTATGTGGCGCTCCAAGCATTGGTTAAAGCTTTAACCGTATAAGCGGGGAGCTACTATAAAGCGACCTGCGCGCTGGGAAACAAGGCAGCATGCTCCCCCTCGCTCCTACACGCGACCCTGGGCCGACCCAGGTGCTTGACAGGGCTCCCCTGTTTTTTCTTTTCATTTCTTTTTTTGTTTTTTTATATTTCTTTTCAATTTTGCTTCTTTAAGAAAGTTCAGGTTTTAGAAAAATAGATTAGAATTTCGAAAAATGTTTACTAATGGAAAAAAATCTTCAGAAATTTCAAAAAATGTTCATGATAAAAAAGCACAGTTTCTGAAAAAAATGAACAGTTCTTGAACTTTGATGGACATTAATTGTATGTTGATGCACAAATTTTTCATTTTGGATGAACATTTTCTGAATTTTGATGCACACTTTTTTATTTGACAAACAAGTTTTTAATCCAATGAACATTTTTAATAAGATTGACGAACAAATTTTAATTTCAATGAACATTATTTTGAAACCGATGAACACATTTTGAACTTAAGAAAAACAATTGAATTAACGAAAAATTTACAATATGATGAATGTTTTTTCCAAAATTCATGAACATTTTCTGAATTTGATGAACATTTTTTATTTTGATTAACGAATTTGAATTCGATGATTAAAAACTGAATTCAAGAAATGTTCACTAATGTTAAAAATGTTCGAATTTTAGAAAATATTAACCGAGTTGAATAAAATGTTCCAAGATTTCAGAAAATGTCTATGAATTTGGAGAGAAAAAGCAAAAAAAGAAAGGAAAAAATGAAATAAAAAGTAAAATAAATAGAGAAAGGAACAAAGAAAAAGAGAGAAAACGAAAGAAAAAAGAGTGTATGTATAATTTTTTCAGATCTGTGAACTTTTTTCAATTTCATGAAATTTTCTAAAATCTCTCAACATTCTTCAAATTAGTGAACTTTTTGACATATGAATGAACTTTTTGTCAAATTTTGAAATTTTTCTAATTCGAAATTTTTGTTAATTCCGTATGGATTTTCTAATCCGCAAAGTGTTTCTAAACAAATGGAACATTTTCAAATTTATAATTTGTTTATATGAAATTTGAGAACATTTTGAACTTCATGAATTTTATCCAAATCTATGAACTTTATTTAAATCCTTGAAAACTTTCATATCAGTGCACTTTTCTCAAATCCTTGAACTTCTTTCAAATTAAAGAATTCTTTTTCCAATTCTTGATCTTTTTCCAAATTGACAAAAAAATGAGCAGTTTTTTCTTGGGACATGGAGCAATAGCTCCCGGGGAAATAGCAATAGAGGCGAGACGGGCGAAGAGAGAGCGCGAGCGAATGGTGTATTGGGTCGTGGCACATGCATCAAGCCCTATACGCTCTGGGGGAAATGGGCGCTTAATGCGCAGATTAGGAGCTCTCAAACTATTGCCCATTAGTGCTAGGAAAATCCCTCCTGGAGCAAAGAATTGCCAGCCCAAAGCCAATGTAGACCCAGCGTGGGAGCCACCCTCATCGGCCTCCCCAAAAATGTCCACAGGTGTGATGCCTCGGCCCAGCCCAACCGTCCCACATACATCAGATCCATGGGAGGCGGCGCAAACCAATACATGGCTCGCTGATGAAGGATGTTGCGAGGCTATAGCGCACAACTGTGGTGGCGCTGGCGACGAGGATCAAAGGCGGTGTCCATTTCCCGACTAGGAGGAGCTGCAATAGAACTGCAAAATGGAAGTGCATTCTTATTTTACATTCTAATTAACCACACATTTTTTTAAATAAGAGTAAAAATAACTAGTCTACCCTTTCTCCATTCCTAGAGCCAATCTACATTATTTTTTGAAAAGGTTCAGATCTATTATGAAGATTCACCAGAAGTACAAATCACCTCAAACATAATAAAAATTACATCGAGGTCCTTAGGCCACTAAATGACCATTGCCGCAGCCAGAACGAGCCGACAACACGGCACTGTCGCCGCTCCCATACCGGAGTCGGCCTGACCTTGTCGATTACAGCTGAAAAATCTTTGGTCACGTGCCCGTAAGGACCAACGCCCAGGAGTCACAGTCGTCACCTTGAATCCTTGAATCAATCTGAAGAACCTAATACCAAATATTGCCGTCACGTACGCACGACGAGAAAGCCTAACCTCGCCTCCCCAAGGAGCTGGCAGGAGTCTACGCCAGAGCTCCATCTAATCCGTCCCAATGCGATGGACAAACTTGACGAGGGTCAAAGCTCGAAAGACCGACTCGAAGAAGGAGCATTGCCATCCATCCAAACGCCGCCGCTGCGAGGACTAAAACCTACCTATCTACTTGCTGGAGTTGTGGCACCAAGAATCTCCTCCCCGCCACCGAAGCGGCAAGCGGAGGGAAGGCGAATCCACAGGCTCGCTGGCAAAGATGGAGAGGAAGAAGGCCGTTTTCCAACTCGCCTTGCGAAAGAGGAAAGAAAAGTGACTAGGCTCCCTATCTTCTCGTTGGCCCTTTTGTTGGTATCTCTCGTGTCGTATGATCACCATGACGGTCTGGGATGAGGGGATCCATGTGTCTGGGTTAGGTGAGTACATGGGGGTGCCCCTTGGTCTATTTTAGGGGGGCTTGTTCGTCATTTCGACGGTTCCGACAACAATACAACAACGAAGTATTAGTCCCAAACATGTTGGGGTAGGCTAAAGGTGAAACCCATATGATCTCACATTCAACTCATGGTTTTTGTACATGGATAGCAAACTTTCGCGCACACTGTCCATGGCTTGTTCTTTGGTTATACTCCAGTCCTTCAGATCTCTCTTTACGAACTCCCTCATGTTAAGTTTGGTCTATCCTGACCTTTCTTGACATTATCAGTACACTTTAGCCGTTCTCTATACACTTGAGCTTCTAAAGGCCTACGCTGAATATGGCCAATGAACCATTCAGACAACGTTGGACGAGTTTCTCTTCAATCGGTGCTACCCCAACTGTATCACATATATCATCAATTCTGACATGTTTCTTTCTTTTGTGGACACACATCCATCTCAACATGCGCATCTCCGCTACACCTAACTATCAAACATTTGACCTAATAGTTGGCCAACACTCAACGCCATACAACATTGCCGGTCAAATCGTCATCCTATAGGATCTGCCTTTTAGCTTTCCTTTAACTCTCTTGCCACAAAGAATGTTAGAAGCTTGGCGCCACTTCATCCATCTGGCTTTGATATGATGGTTCACATCTTCATCGATATCCCCATCCTTTTGCAGCATTTCCCCAAAATATCAAAATGTGTCCTTCTGAGGCACCACACACCCATCAAGGCTAATCTCCTCTTACTCATGCTTAGTAGTACTGAAACCGAACAACATGTACTAGGTTCCAACAACAATGCTCCTCATAATGTGCCTTGGACTCCCTCAACTCAATGGTATCTCCGCTGGTGGCAAGCTTGTGCTCATGTAGTGTGTTCCTGGTGCCAGTCATCTTTGCGGAGTTGTCAACAACCCGTCGAAGAATAAAGGTAATCTGGCCTTTTTCGTTGTTTCAGCATGATGTGACTACCATCCAGAGGGGATGGTGGGATTTTATCTTCAAGGAAAATCATATCCGGGAAAGGTGTTCATGCTTGGCGTGGTTCCCAGACCGATATTCCTTCATCCATTATCATGGTCCCGCCTCTTGCATATGGTTTTCAATCCGTGGATTGGTAGCGATTGTTGTGAGTGAGAAGCAATGAAGTTGAAGGTTGTGGCTATCACAGATAGCGTGGTCCATGATTGTATCCTTAGTTCTTTTTTTCTTTTCCTTTTGTAATATACTTGTCCATGATCGTATATTTATCTTTGTCCTCGACAGTTAACAGATAATGATAGTGCATTCTAGCTTGTCCAACTCTCATTTACTTGTTGCCACATAGAAGTTGATGCCTTGTAACCCAAGGTAGCAGATAAAAAACAATTCCAATTCTCTCCTTCCTTCCGAAATCTCAACTAGTACTCCTATTGTATTAATTCATTCTAAAGAAAAACCAGGCAACCATCTATATGTGCTCCATGCCACCCTAGACATACATGAGGTTCTTCCTTCCGACCGATACCACCATGCAGTTCACCGCCATGTCGCCCTCTCCGACCCAACCAACTTCATCATCTTTGGATCTTCCTCCTCCTGCCCACATTCCCACAACATCCCTGGCATATCCTCTTACCTTTGGCCTGCCCCTCACGAAGGAATAGTGCTCAAGTGAACTTTAGTGCGGTGTTTGGCTCTAGGCATATTAAATTCCATCATCGATTAAGTTCTCAGTCAAATCTATGGGTAATCTAAGAGAGCGAGTAACTAATGGCATGTGAGTTCTAATAGAGATTACTATATCCATGCCAGTCTATATTGGAGGTTAGAGTTTGACCATCAGTTTGACAACTGAAATGTGAGTTATGTTCCACAAAAATATTTTTTTTTGATCTCCTTTAATACTACTAATGTATTGTTGGTGTGACGATCAACTTAAATCATGAAATACGGGGCTGTCATGTAATAGGTATGGAGGGAGTAAGAGCAACTCTTGCAGATCCGCTAAAATCGCATCCCACAAATTAGGGCGGCCTATAAAAAAATTGTGGTACTACAAGGCCTCCGACGGAACAGATCCTGTAAACTCGCCCCACTAAACTTTTGCGCGACGAATTTATAGAATCTGTTCTCCGCAGGAAGCCTCACAACACTGCAAATAATTTTGTGGGCAAATATTAAGATGTAGTAGAATTCATATAGATGCACGAAATTTATATAAATATAGCCATGCTGAACTAGTTCACATCCAAAATCATTTGCAACATACGAGGTAGCAAGTTTGGCCATACGAATGCGCAATCAAACAAAATAAAACATGATCAAATCACCACTGGCCATAAAACAAATCAGGCGACATCATCATTGTTGCGAAGATCGTCGCCACCTCCATCGGCACCTTGTTCACCATCTTCATCCACGTTCAACGAAGAATGAGCACCATCATCTTCATCCACATTCACCGAAGAATGAGCACGATCATTGGAGTATTCATTGGCAATGCGATCCTACTTGGCAACCGGACATAGAGGAATGATGAGGTCATTTTTTATCAACACGAACAATATCACAAATAGTTTCAATAAAATGAAGAAACACTCATATAATCATCAACCATGACACCACTTGGAGGTGCATTCCGCACTTGCTGGAAGCACCCAAGTTTTCTGGATCACGTCCCAATGACCATAGATTGACTTTAATGACCGGCCAGAGAGGAACGACAAGATCTGGTGGTACTTGTCCTCGATCCATTGACAATACTTCATTGCGCTTTGATCTTTGTCGGTTGCCTCATCAAGTGACACACTCTCCCATGCTTGGATCAAGGAAACATCCTCTGTCTTCGTGTAGTTTCCGGTCCTTTTCCTAAATTTGTCTTGGCTAGAATCGAAATCGACCTCTTCAAGCTCCTCCACTTCATCACCTCTGTCATTGCCTTGTTCCACCTCGGCTTCGACCTCTGCTTGATTTGCTGAATCGAATTCCTCAAGCAAAGAACTCAAGTCCACCGCACTCTCCTCCAAAATTTTGGTATATGTTGAATGTTTTGGCTACAAACTCAATGGCTAGAACATAAGGAAACGATTCAAAGTGTAACCAAAGATCATCGAAGCAAAGGAAATTATTTTACCTCTTAGACGTTTCACCGAATACGTTGTATGCGTGGTCGATAGAGTGGATGGGATTGGTGAGGACGTGTCCAGTAGGGAGTGGACGTGACCAGAGGACGTTGTATGCCGGGCTCGAGTCGCAACTGCCTTTTTCCTCGGGACCTTCACCCGCGCACTGGCCTGGCCAGAGAAGGCGGTCTTCTTCGTTGAGCCAGCCACTCTGGCGCGAGGCAGCACGGCGGCATTCGAAGAAGCCAACGCTGCATCGGGCGCGCCTCCTTGCACGAGGTGATTCCCCTGCCGCTTTCGCTTGCAGTCGACGGTAGAAGATGTTGGGCCTGACAACTGTGTGCACGGCCACGGGAGGTGTGGAAGGCCTGAGTGGCATCTTGGGGGCAGCAGCGCACGAATGCACATTGCGCCGCTCGATAGCCGCAAGTACTCCATAGCGGTGGTTGGCGCCTCGGCGACGCGAGACGGCGAGATCGACGACTGTGGCGGGGAGTGGAAGCGGGAATGGAAGGGGCGGAAGTTTCCTTCACGCCAACGAGCGGGTGGGATGGAGGAACCGGCAAAAAGAAGGGGGGAAACCGTAGATATGGTGGGCGCGATCTGGAATTTACAGGATCCCAGAAAGAAATTTAGCAGAAAAACCATCTTAGCCCCCTATATCGGCGGTTATTATAGCAGACGGGCTGTTTTAGTGGATCTGCTAGGGTTATTTTAGTGGATCTGCTAGGGTTAACTCTAATTAATGGGGTACTCCACCATACAACAGTATCTTCCTCTCTTGAAAACAGTATCTTCCTTTCTTATTTGGTCTAAGAATTAATTTCTGTAGAATGCACTCGTATAATGCGACAATGAGGGGGTATCTAGCAATGCATGTAACTAATCGCTCGGGAAAGTCAGCTAGTATACATACATACATACTCCCTCCGTCCGAAAATACTTGTCTGCAAAATGGATAAAAAGAGATGTATCTCAAACTAAAATACATCTAGATACATCCCCTTTTATCCATTTTAATGACAAGTATTTCAATGACAAGTATTTCCGAACGGAGGGAGTACATACTAGGAGCAGTGAAGGCTCTCTAGGGGACGGTCTACCATCCATCCTTGACTGGACCATGATTTCATCTTTCTTATCTTATGCTATTTCCGTTTGCCAATCCATGAATGACGCCTAAAATAGTATTTTCTTTTGTTTTTGGACCCCAGCTTGGACTGGTCATCGTTGGGGAAGCTCTGGGACGAATGGCAAATCCAGTGTCTAATGCTTGTAAGCTTTGGACTACAGGTCTTTCTCTTCTTCACAGCAGGCATGCGAAGACGCAGCGAGTCACGCATCCTCAGGTTGCTCCTATGGCTGGCTTACTTGTCAGCCGACTTCGTGGCCATTTTCGCTCTCGGGCATCTCGCGCTCCACGCCAACGGACCTCAACACCAGCTTCTTTTCTTCTGGGCACCGTTCGTGCTCCTCCACCTAGGCGGGCAGGATACCATGACCGCCTTCTCCATGCAGGACAATGAACTATGGATGCGGCACCTGTTAGGGCTGGTCACCCAAGTAACTGCAGCTGGATACGTCATCTCTAGGACTTCATGGCCGGATAGGCGGCTCCTGGCTGCCATGGTGCTCATGTTTCTCTCTGGGTGCTTCAAGTATGCTGAACGTACCCTATGCCTTTACAAAGCCAGCCCAACAAGTATAAGAGAGTCTTCCTTTGCTTCCTTGAATGAGTGCGCGCATAGTATTGCAGTGGGTAGAGATCAGTGGGCCTATTTTTGGCCGCACAGATTACAGGAAATGCTTAATGCAGATGGAAGACGTCCTTCATCTCAAATGTTTGACGTCGATTCATCAACTGCCATTTCTCTGGTATCAGATACTCCAGTCAATGATGGTAGTACTATGCAAGCTGAACACCAGGACATACAAAGCTTAAACAAGGAGTTGAAATCCAGTAAAGACCGATGCAGAGTCTATGATTATGTTAGTCCACGACTCGCGCTTATTTATGAACGCCTCTACACCAAGGCCCTGCTTCGTTATTCCATCGTACATGGAGTCAGAAGAACACGTTATGATGGCGATATTTTATTAGGAGTATGTTTTTGTTGTTTTGTACTATGTATCCCTTGTTACATGCCTCTCCTAGTTTACGGCTTGCTGCTTCTGTTTCCACTCCTTTCAACCATGACAGCGCTGATGCTGTTCAAGTATGTAGAGAAGAGCCAACTCTACAGCCGAGCTGATGTCACGGTGTCATATGTATTGCTCATAGGGGCCATGATCTTGGAGGCGGCATCTCTCTTCATCTGCATTCTATCCTATTCACCCTACAGGGATATATTATATCAGAGTGCAAGAAAACAATGGTCTGAAATGCTAGGGCAGTACAACATGACCAAGAGTCTCACCAGACAAAGCATCTTGTCGTTTGTGCCCCAAAGGGCTGCAAAGCATCTAGATGACAATACATCAAGCATCACCATTTCCGAAGATCTCAAGAAGTTTGTGCTTGACAAACTGTTGGACTTCGGAACAAGGAAAGAAGACTGGAATTTCGCCAACTTCCATGGTAAATTAGCACTTGGGAAATGGATGGACAGACATAAACATTTAGTTTGCGGAAGGCTTAACTCGAGCATCAATGATTTGGATCTCCCAACAAGTGTGCTGATCATGCACATTGCCACAGAGATATTATACTTTCAAGACAGTGAGAGCATTAATTCACATAAGCAAACAGTGAAGAAGATGAGCAGAGAGCTATCAAACTATATCATGTATCTTGTCTTCAAGTGTGGTGTGATGCTTACGGCCAGAACAGAGATCCTGCATGACAAAGCTCAACGCGAAATGAAGCGAGATTTGAAAGGGGATAATAATATATGTGAGAAGGAAGCTATCATGGAGGTGTTTGAATCCCACCATACGAATTATTATCTCCGAACTCCCAGAGAACAAGCAGCTGACATACAACTTCTCATGGACACATGGACATCTCTCCATTCACCAATTTTGCCTCGTGCATGTGACGTGGCCCAGGAACTCATTGACATCCACAGGGAAGTTGACTGCTGGGACCTTGTGAGCGCAGTGTGGGTGGAGATGCTTTACTATATCGCACCTCGTTGCGGAGGTACTTTTCATTCCCAACATCTTAGCACAGGTGGTGAGTTCATCACACATGTACTCCACCTGATGCAACTTTTAGGCCCTTTTATACCACCTCCAAGTGCATAGCTTTTATGTCCAAAATGCTCTTATGTATCTGGTATGTAATAAGTTATCAAAATGCATCAAGACTCTTGTAACATGAAAAAGATGGACTAGCACTAGTAGGAAAAAGGGCCATTAGTTCCGGTTCCAGATGGCCATTAGTCCCGGTTCTGCAACCGAGACTAAACAATCGGTACTAAAGCCCCCTTACTTTTAGTCCCGTTTGTGTTACGGACCGGGACTAAATGTGGTCCACGTGGCAACTATGGGGCGCGAGGGCAGGAGGACCTTTAGTCCCAGTTGGTAATAACAACCGGGACTAAAAGGCTGCCACGCGTCAGCACTAGCCAAGTGCTGGTTTTTTTTGAAGGAGAGGTTTAGGGGTTTTGGAGGGTTTAGGGGTTACATATTGTGTTTCCCCCTTTTCTTTTTGTGTCCATCATCTTTGGTTCCTTATGCCCTGTTGGCGTTCTCGGCCGGTGCCATTATTGAGCTCCATATAACTAGCTAGTACATACATATAGCAATGAAGGAACCGTTACACGACATCGTCATGAATATAGAGAGAAGTGACCTCTCTTTCTCTCCGTGCTTGGTCGAACAACAAGTTTTCGTATACCTATTCGATGCTACAACATATACTACACGTTCATGCATATATACAATATTTAACATCTCTTCCGATCCCTAACTAGCTAATATCTATCCACCAACATCGAGAAGGAAAACCCGATGGTATTCTCTGTCTTTAGGTATGACATGCTCAACAAAGAATGCCGCCAAATCCTCTTGAATTGATCGGATGCGATTAGTTGGTAGGAGTTTGTCCCGCTTCTCACAGATCTAATTTAAAGAAGGGGATCAATATATATACATGAATGACACTCAATACAATTGATGGTAATAAAATAAAAATGTGAATATTGTTTACTTACTTCATATTGTCGAAGAGATCTGCCCCTCTCACAGGTCGCCTGGTCAATCCACTCGCAAACGTAGTATCAACATAAATTGTTCCTGTCTTCGTACCTAAAGATCTACTCCCTCCGTCCGGAAATACTTGTCATCAAAATGGACAAAAAAAGATGTATTTTGAACTAAAACACGTCTAGATACATCCTCTTTTATCCATTTTGATGACAAGTATTTTCGAACGGAGGGAGTACTTTGCAAGAATAGAGTTCAATCAAAATAATAATCAAGCATGATAATGGTATTGAAGCTAGAATGAATGAGAGATGTGCAGAACTAGCTAGTACTACTTACTTTCTCATGTATAAATCGCAGCTCCTTTTTCCATTCAATCCTATTGGTAGGCGTGCAGGTGAACATTTTCCAAACCCTGTAGAGCAAAGAAAATGATTACTTAATATTAGGAAATGAACGAAAGTTGCCGATATGGTGCGATAATGATTGAACTTATTTCTGGAGCATTTCAATCATCGTCGCCCACTCTGTAGGGTCTTTACGTTTCGAGTCCAAGACAGTTAGAACTCCCTCGTCAAGGTGAATGGTTAGCATAATAAAGTGAAACTTGCGCACGCATAACTCATCAATTACACTTTAGCTCGAGTAAGCGAAACAGAATGTGCATAAGACAACTAGTAATTAACACTCACCAGAAGTTGTAAGGAAATAGTATTGCCCTTCTGTGATGTTGTCTAATTAACGCATTTAGCAAGCATTTCTCTGTATCCACGGGCATTTTAGAAATTGTATATTCATTTACTTGATCTCGGTTAATGAACCCAATGTCATATATTTGTCTTCTTTTGCATTTGAGGATCTTCAATCTGCATAATACAGTGAGGATAATTAATTATACATGAAATGAACGGGGACTAATGGCCTCCATTAGACAACATGGGGAGGCTAGAGATATGCTGCAGCAGAATTTTGGAGAGAATAGGACGGAATCTGTGATAAATGAGGGAAGGGAGGAGCCAATTTGCCAGGGGAGGGAAAGTGCTCCAGTTCGTTGAGGTGCGGCTCAAGGGAAACTTGAAAGAGGAAGTGGATTGCCCATCTCTCTGTTTATGTGTTCTGGCTGCACATGTTGAAATCGAAACCATTGAGGTCAGAGCTAAGGGTGATTCAGGCATGGAGAATCAACTTGGAGTGCCGGTTTGTAAGAATCATAGCGGTTTTACGAAGAGTTTGGGGTTGCTACCAGATGTTGGAAGATCTGGACCTTTAATACGTAGTGTCAACTGTGTTCACATTCTTATGTTAGGGAAATATATCACGCATTTTGTTCACACCTCTGGGAAGAACATCTTACAGAAAAATACTAGAATGATTGTTGACTCGAACTTTCTGAAGACTAAGATGCCTCCATTTTGCATAGAGTAATGCTACGCCTACGTAAACCAACTTTGCGTGCTTTACCATATTGTGCCACGTGGACAGTCAGGTTTGGATGTAGGAGGATGGAGCCCCTGAAAATTAGGGGGGAAGAGAATAATTGGTAGGAAGGTTACGTTAGTCTTCGTAGCTTTGTTCGTAGATGGAGCCTTACCGTTTGGCAAAAGCATTGGGCTAATGTCCAGGATAAGGCTGTTATGGAGATGAGCCGGCAACTCCCTTCAAGTGTTTTACAGTGAAGAAATAGCTCGATTTCAACGGTTAAATATAAATATTTTGGTTCAGATCTAGGATCTCCCTGATGGTTTAATGGGGCTACTTAATCTGCTTAAATCTTGTGAAAGAACCTTCCTAAGGCAACAAAGAGAATTGCTCTGAATTCGGCCATAGGTGAAGATCTGAACATGCAAGAGCAATTATACCAACAGTTTCTTCCACAATAGTGGCACCGATGGTTGTGGTAGTGTAATTCTTTGTCTATATTAATCTATATATGTGGTAGTGTAACCGTGAGTCCACGATGCAAGTTAATACCATGAACCCAAAAATGACTAGCATAAAAAGTTAAATGTATTGTCGAAACAATGACCAAAAACATTAAGCGACAAAAGTAAGAGAAGAATAAGTAATTTATTTTATATATATATGTCAAGGCAAAATATTCCAACCATGCATCCTGTAGATTGGCAGTGACTATTTTAACTAGATATACATACCTCCGTCTAACTGTGACTTAAAACTATTCCTACAATCTATATGGTTCTGTTTGTGGTGAAGGTTGGACTTAATGCCCTATATATATATATATATAAAGGTGAAAACTAGACTACACTTGGTTGGCAAGAAATCTACTCTTGGTTGGCTAGAAATCTGGAGGTAGAACCCACATGCCACCTGGAGCATGAGCAACTACATATGTTCGGATGCCCCACTTGACATAGACACTCGTAGGATATAGACAATAACCATGATCCTGCAACCTCGTTGAGTATACCAAATCATCAGTAGTGTAGATGCAGCTAGCTTCTCGGCAACTCGTTGTGCCCAACAGCCGATAGGTACACAGCCTTGGACCACATTTTCCCTAAGAAAATTGCATAGTCACCCAAACTCGTTACCTCCTTCCACTTGTAGGTGCACTCTGCGGTCGATTCATCAGCAAGCTCAAACACCCTGAAGAAGGGCTCACGCTCAGGAAAATATTCATGTAGCGACGGCCAGGTCCTCACCACCATCACTAGCTTGCCGTTTAGCTCAACGATGTTGTTCGGCTGAGCGAGGAAAGGGTTGCTATGCGGTGGAATTGACAACAGGCGGGGTTCGGCCGTGACCACCGGCTCATGATGTTTGTTCACACCTATTTCGAGCTTGAACAAATCCTCGAAGATGGTGAGGCAATATAGTTGCCCATTGAAGAATAAGATGTCCACAATCCCGCGTTTGAGATGTTTTTCTGTCCACTCACCGTTCGGATAACCAATCCTACAGAGCGCGATTCCATACTGGGAGGTGATGGCAGCGAGGATGCAACCACTTGAAGCGGGGGATTCCGAGAAGACAATTCAAAATTATGTCATTCTGATTGCCTGCTTGGGAGACCGTCCACATGTCCTTTACGGGGAGCAACACCTCAATGCCGGAGAAGAGGTTCACGACTGTGAGCTCCATGTTGTCCCCAAGCACGGCTACCCAGCCGCCATCATGACTCCCCACGAACCGACCGCCTGGATCGGCAACGACACAGGGAAGACCTGGTTATCCTTGGGAGTTGGGACAGTACATCCTCCTCCGGTTGTCCTCCTCATGAGCTTGGCTCAAGATAAGCCACGGTACAACGGACGGCGCCGCGTGTGGCAACGTGATCACAGCCGCTCGCCATGACCTACACACGGCGGCGAAACGGATGCGCTGGAGTGGGCCGAGGACCTTGGCGTAGACCACGCGGAGGAGGTCGTCTGGGAGATCCGACTATGGAGGTGGCATCGTCATCGCTGGTGTGCTCAGTTTGATGCTAGGGGTACGACGCCGCCGCCGCCGGCCCATCGATCGATCGGCGACCTGTTTGGTTGAGTTCCGAGATCAGGTCACGGCATGTACGGGAGCTCTAGGTTTAATTAGCAGGCGCGTGTCTCGTAATTATATTCATTGCATCGCTGGAATCGGACACGTATATGTAGGGAAATCGATTCAACTAATATGCAATGTCCGGCCGTGTAGTAAAAGTGTCTCTTCCATATAGACGCAAGATTATTATGATTTTTTACTTTTGACGCCTGGGATATATCTATACCCCTTCATGAAAAAAGGTAGCATAACCTTTTCACCCGCACTGATACGCGGCCTGCGTACATAAACGCGGCGTCTTTCTTTTTCTCGCGGCACCCTCAGCTGTTTTTCACTTTCTTTTTTTTTTTAAAAAAAAGAGAGTGCAAGTAACATTAATCAAACTTAAGACCTCTTGGTCTAAGAACCACACTAACCAATTAAGACATCCTAATGCTTGTGCATATATTTTTTTTCATCTACTTCAGTTCGCTGCTGGGTTGGCCCAATGTTGAATCGGTCCTTTTATCACTACTTCCTTTTTGTTTTTTCTATTCATTCTTTCTTTTTTGTTTTTTTTATTTTTCAAAAAATGCTCGCGCTTGTAAAAGTTCGTC